AAATTCAATAAAGAGCTGGCAACATTCAGAGGTTTTGATCCATAATGACCTTTGCCAACACATTGTTGCAGTAAATTTGTCAGCTGTACAGTAATGATGGAGATCTTCTGTTCAACCACATGCCAAAGGTGCTCTGTTGAATTAGTGCTTGTCGAGGAATGTGAGTAGAGAAAATGCATTATCATGCTCAAAAAACTGGTTAGACAGAATCTGAACTGTGTGACATGGTGTGCTATCTTTCTGGGAAATGGGAGGAACATGCTCAGCTATAACACTCAGGTAGGTTATTGTGATTAAATGATAATAGTTTTCCCCGATAAAAATATTAGAGAAAAAATATGTAAAAAATATTGCCGAAGTTTTTCTTGTCTCTAAGTGTGCTAAGAAAATATCCCACACCATTACACCACCACTAGCTGCCTGAAAAGTTGACACAAGGTCAAATGGATCCATGCTTTTATGTTGTTTATGAATTGAAATTCTGACTTTACCATCTGTCATTTCATTTTATGATGAAAATAAATTCCATAGTATACAGTCTCACTTGTGAAGTAATTGAAATCCAAATGCTCTAAATAGACACTATTAGCACAAACATTGAGCAGACACAGCGGCCGTGGCTGCCTCTGTTGGTGCCAAATGGCAACTCCTGAGGCTTAAAAACGAAGCCAGTGTTGGAATTAATCTACTTACTCCCATATTAAAAAATATATAAATTATATAATAGGTGCTCTATAACATTGATTTGAACTGAACTGAATTAACTCACTCACTCATTCATTCATTCATTCATCTGAGACAGCAGTTTTAATGTTCTTATCTTCTCTAAGAATATCTAATATGCAATAGTGTACCCTTTTATCATGCTCGTTGGTAGGTTCTTAAGCATTAAATTTAAACCTTTTTTTCACCTTCCTTTAGTTACTTTACTTTCTACCTCTTAGATATAGCGCACAGTTATAACACACTTTTTAAAATATATGTATATGTATATATATGGTATATTAATGCTTATATCCTTACTCTCATTCCCCTTATAGTATCTGTAACATGCAACTTCTGTTGGTGCTGTGCTACTGGAAACTAAATTTCCCAGAGGAACCCACCCGAGGGATTAATAAAGTTTCATCTAATCTAATCTAAACTGGTAGGTTACTTAACAGCTGATCAAACCCAGCTAGAAGACATTATACTGCTTGTTATTTGCTGTTTGCAAAACAGATGAAATCATCACCTATAATTGCTTATACTTTGCAGAGTTAAAAAAAAAAAAATAAAGTAGAAACAAGCACTGGAATTTCCCTGTTTGTCCCAGTGCAGCAAAAAAAAAAAAAAAAAATGAAAAAAATGAGTTGCTTGAATATTCAGAATTTCAACATTTTCCTTTTGTTGGAGTGGATACCTAAATTAATTATTTATTTATTTATTTATTTTAGGGCAAATTGGATTCACAGAGATTTTAAGAGCATAAGTCACTCGTTCAGTTCTGAGATCAAAACACCAATGAATCACTGGCCACCCAAGAGAGTTAAATTGCATTCAGGCAGATCATTCAGGAGAGCCGATATCTACAGTGATAAAAGTGTACAAGATATCCTTCTCAATGTTCTTTACTGTGTATTTGAGGGAATTGATGCCATCCGCATTCATGGTCCAATGTGTTTGAAACAGTTTATCAGGATTCTTTGGATTTGGGTCATTGTGCGCGTCTCTTTGATGTTTGATCATCCTGTACCTCCCCGTCAGTAAGTCAGGTCGAGAAACCTGCATTCCACGTAAGACTATTCGTTTGTAGATATCATCGTCCTCACCACCCCAACCCCAGTAGGTGTTTGGGAACCCATTAATTTTCAAGTACTGATGTTTGTACAATGAAGCGACCCCACCAAAGAAGGTCTTATAGGGTAAGTCGAAATTAAATTTGTCCATGCCTATAGCCAAGTGTCGTGGATTGTCAAAACATCTGTAGAGGTTACGGTCATTTAGGGGAACCAGATCTACGTCAGAGAAGAGGAAGCAGTCATAATCATATTCCTTGAGCGCTTCGACATATCCTGCATTCATCAGTTTAGCCCGATTGAAGACTCCCTCTCCATCTTGGTTGATGACATAGACTCCGTAGTCCACAAGCTGTCGCTTCAGTATAGGATGCAAGTAATAAAGCCAGTGCTTCAAATGCTCGTGCCGATTCCGGAATGGGATGATGATTGCCACCTAAAGACATGACAATAACTTTTACTTTAACATTTGAAAAATTAGCCCGTGATTCACCAATAATTTGATTTGATTGATTCTAGGGCAGCTTTGCATGATTCAGTATTATCTCATACCAGGTGACAGTTCATCCTCTCTCTAGCTCTGTTTGCCTTCCCTTCAAGACTGCTTTCTTTTGGCTGGGAGCAAACCACAGGTGTGTTTGCTTGAAATGACCATATTAGTGTCACTGGGATCCAACTGTAGAAAGAATTGTCTGAATTGGAATGTTTGTAGCTTTCTGAAGCGTGTGCTTTTAGCTCATGATAATTGTGCTCATACAATGACAGACCTCATTATTTAAATGTGACTATGTTTAATATTAGCATGTATGTCACGTGTTATCTTTAAAAGCTTAAAAAAACATGACGTTTTTTCCAAGTTTATTTCAAATGATACTGAATCGAATGAAGCCAAATAAAGAAATCTGTGAGTGAGTTAATCATTATATGATATATATGATACCATTTTATCTCTATATATTACCTCTAATTTCTCTTTTGGTTGGGTAAAATCAGGTTTTATTTGATCATTTACACCTGTTTAAGTATTTAAAATAAACTATGAAAAAAGAGTGCCAAAAACATGTAAAAATAAATACACAAACAAATAAATAAATCCTTACATAAATAGTAAATTTAAGGAAACTTGTCCCCTTAAATGCAAGTTGCTATCAGTTGCTGGTTTCTTTCTTTCCTCTCTTCTTCTCAAGTCATTCACCTACCTTCTGCTTTGCAACACAGTCTTTTGGCTTGAACCTTCCTCCTTTTTGAAGCAAAGGACTGACTTCCTTTCTCACATGTTCCCAAGTCCTTCCAAAATCAAACTCAACGAGGAGTGGACCTATGAGATCTGGGGGGTTTTCAGGGCAGGGGCCCAAAGTTAAGCTGACAGCAGATGGTGTCGGTGCCATCTCACTGCTTTTGTTTGAGGCTTTGATCCTCCTCTCCAACAGCTTCGCGACTTGCTCCTTTACCATCCCTGAAAATGTTTTGTTTCCCAGTGTCAAAATATGTTTCTCAGGAACAATAACCCCAAAGCTTCTTCTGGAGTAGAATAAAACCAGCACAAAACATGCGACACTAACAAAAGAAAAAAGTACTAGAAAATTAAATAATCTTTTGGAGTTTCCTGCCATCTTTTATCTTGCGTATACTCAGCGGCTCTAATTTCCCTTGTTACAGCTCAGTTGCCAGCATATCTGTATGTTTGCAAGTCAAAGGTATTTCAAACAAAGAGCAGCCCAACCGGTTTTTATTTTTGCTGTACGACTTCCTTGTTCACGTCACCTTATCAGGATAGGCCTCGCACCTGTGGTTATTAATTAAACATGACATCTTTTGACTAATTTCTCCAGTGTACAAGACTCTGTTGACTGTTTCATACCTAATTTGTTTGTAATGTGAAAGTAGATTACTTCCTGGCTTTCTGAGTAATTCAATAAGAGAGCACTAGTACATTTTCCTAACATCACTTTCTTTAATGTATATCTTACCTCCAAGCAATTTCAGTTAATGTAGTAATGTAGTGACAAGAATTAGTGATTATTATGGGAAAGGTTTAATTAAAAAAGTAAGTTCTGTTTGAAAATACGGATATAGTGATATTGGGGGAAAAGAAATCTCTGAAAAGTTGTTAAAGTGTGCCCTCTCCTGGTTTGAATAATAGTGTTTAAGTTTGAGATCTGTCTACATGTGGTAATTTCTGTAATCCTCTGGATTGTCGCTGATAAGTATCCAATGCTGTCATGGTCCGGAGTCTGCGACTCCGTGTTTATGTTTAGTTTATTAGTATTCTGTGGTTTTGGTTACCTTGGGTGTTTGTACTCTTCTGTTTCATGGTTCATGTTCCTATGTTCTGTGTCCCCCAGTCTGTGTTAAGTTGGTGTGTTATGTCATTGCGTGTATGTGTTTCCTGTTTTATTGTGAAGGTCTGCGTCTTATGTGAGTGTTTTCACTTTGCCTCCCTAGTCTCGTCACGTTAATCACTCCCAGCTGTGTTCCCCACCTGTGTGTAATCTCCCTGTGTTCTCTGAGTGTATTTAAGTTGTGTCTTCTGTCATGGTAGTTGCTGGTTCGTCTGTGTTGTTTCCCCTCGTCTCCCCGTATGTATTTCCTCGGACCTCCCTGCATCTTCGTTTCTGGTTTGTGTTGTTAGTTCCCCCAGTTTAGGTTTCCGGTTTCATGTTCACCCACCATTGCTGTTTGTACCCACTCCTGTAAATAAATACTCACCTGCACCACAGCTGCCGCCTTTTGGGTCCTTTCTCCAACTCCACACGGCTTGCCCCAGCAAACCGTGACAAATGCTCTAGAAGACTGTCATCAGAAATTAAGAAACTGTTTCCATGTAATTGGTGACAATAGTCATGGAACACTGTCTCATATTGTTTGCAGCAGGAACTCTTTACAGATGAATGATGGGTCCTCTTTAGCAAAGTAATATTGGAACTGTTGGCAGGTTATGTATGTTTAGCATTGTGATTTTATCAGCAAAGTATAAACCAGCCTTTAATGACGTTGTTAGTACACACAGCTCCCTGTTTTCTGAATGATAACATGAACAAAGTCCAGCTACTGTATAATTACACTTAGACTTACTGACATCAGTAAATAAAGCTTGCCCAAAAAAGAAGAAGTCAGTGTTTAAGTCATGGGACCAACTTAAATAGTGAACAGAGGCCATGCTCATCTGAAAGCATAAAAATATTCCAACTGACTAATATTAAAACACAAACGGATGAAATGCCACGGTGTTGAACTGATCCGATGATTGTCTCAAGAACACAGCTCCGTCCTTCCATCTCAAATCACCACAAGCATTCTACTCGACTTCTACTCGACCATTTTCATATATCAAATAATTTCAAAGATGGTTTTTGTGTGTGTGTGAAATGGTCCATCCACCCACTTCCAGGCAGCTTTTTGGCACAGTGAAATCTACCGCCATAATCGAACATGAACATGTCAAAAACTATTAAAGATAAAAGCCTGAGAGTTTTACTGCCCTTTCTTACTATCAGAATGAATCAGGATCTGTGATTGTTGCTCAATCTCAAGTTGTACCACCAAAAAAAACAAATAAATAAATAAATAAAACAAACCAACCCACCACCCCCCTAACCCCCAAATATCTTTAAAGATATTTGGTTGCTTTCTTTTTCTGCATTCCTTTTACCAAATGCAGAACAGAAATGGCCAAACTTTTGCATCTTTAATGTAAGCTTTTGGAAGTATTCCTTCTACATTTTAAGTTTAATGCATTACTGTTACACACAGGACATATGTTACATGTTTCTGTTTGTCTCACAGAGCTTGTTCACAGAGTTAACCTCCTAGGTTATGGAATAAAAACAGAGCCCTGACTTGTTAAATGAACTGAATGCTCTCCCCGTGACCCCACTCACTGGCAGTATATTGAAGGGTAACATTGAAAGACTGGAGGAATACGTTTCAATCCAGTTCAAAATCAGCTGAGTGGAAAGACAGGCACTGTTTTGAAATGTGAGCAGACCTCCATTGCAGTAGGCATTCTCTGGTCAGCTGATTTGAAACTGCCACGTCTTAAACAAGCCCACAGACCTTTGGGAAACATTTTTGCTTCACAGAGTGAAATCAGATACTTGATTCACAATAACAGCACAATTAGCAATCAGTTCTAGTTCAGCAGTTGAAGCTGGAGCTGACATCATCAAAGAATCGGTTATAACCTTTCAGCATATTATTATTGAAGTGGTCTGAGAGGGAAGTGGACTCTTGCGCCTCATCTGGAGTGAGTTTTTAGGGCTTAGAGATCTAGCCTATGAGTGGAAACGCTGAGCAGCCATATCTTTAAAAAAAAACAAAAACAAAACTGATAAACAGTGTAAAGTTGTCATGGTCTCCGTGCCTGCCCGGTCGGCCCCACAAGGCTACATTTGCTGTTTCTGTTCTCTCCCTCTCTGCCTGGGCGGAGCTCACTGTGGGCTCCCGCCCTTGGCCCACACACCTGACAACAATCACCTGTCATCACCAGGAGCACTATTTGAGGCTGGAACACAGATCCTCTTGTTGCTGGATGATTGTATTACTGACGTTAGTGTTCTCACAGCTCCTGTGGACTTGTGCTTCGTGATTTGTGATTCGTTTGTGACTTCCCTTCTCTTCTGCTTCAGACCTCCCCCCCCCGGACCTGCGACCTACCTGCCGTGTGAACGTGTGTGAGTGTGGGCAAGAAGACGTGAGCGAGTGTGAGAGAGCTACCCTGTGATTCCCTGGAGTTTTGGATTCCCTTCACTGTATGTATATATATATTGTGCGCTGGAGCCGTAAATAAACTGTATTTTGGAGACATCTAACCGCTCTGCGCTTGAGTCCCTACAACCAGATCGTGACAAAAGTAGTATAAAAACTATCAATGCAGATGTGGTGGCACATCTTTAACCTGTTAAAGTGACTTTTTCCAATCCTGTGAACAGAGATGGGCAGTAACGCGTTACTTGTAACGCGTTAATGTAATCTGATTACTTTTTAAAAGTATCGAGTAAAGTAAGGGATTACTATCGCAAAAACGGTAATTAGATTACCGTTACTTTACTGTAGGAACGCTGCAGGAGGGCGGGGCATAGACTGCTAACCTCCTTATTTTGACTTTTTAAACTTCGTTTTTGTTCCTGTTGCAGCTTCAATATAAAAAGATTTTCTTTAATTAAAAGTCGTTGTTTTTCATATCTTGTGCTTCTTGAAAAAATGGCTTTGAACTCTGATTCTTGATGATCGCTTGTCTATAGCATTTTGTTTCAATTTTAACCGTGAACAATGAGAAGACAACGTATGGGCTGATTTTGTTTGACAAAAGCGAATGTTTGCACGACAAAGGCATTCAAATACCGAAAGGCCAGTGGCAAAAACAAATAGGAGCTGCAAGGCGACCAGAGGGCTCCACAAAAATGATCCAAAAGACGAAAAAGAAAATATCAGTTTGTCAACACCATGAACAAATTAATACTTTAACACCAACATGTACTGGTCGATTTAATTGGTCAGTTGCAAACAATGTATTTGCAGGGTTCTTTTTTTAATCAGTTGATTGTTTTAATACAACTAAACAACATTTTCAGATATGGACAGATATGGGCAAAAACCTCCAATATTTTCGCCCAGTTTTGTTGTTTGGGATTTTTGACAAACCTTTATGCAATAAACGTAAACAGTACACGTAATTTATGTATTTCATTTCCTACTATATGAGGTGTGAAAAGTTATCCTGAACCTAACCGAGTAGTCAAAGAAATCACAAAAAATAAATAAGTAAAAATTGGTGAGTCTTTGTGAATTGTGGCCTCATCTTCCTAATTTTGCCCAACAGGAGTGGCACCAGATGCGGTCTTCTTCTGCTGTTGTCCATCTGATTTCAAGGTTTGATGTGTTGTGCATTCAGAGACGCTCTTCTGCATATCTTGGTTGCTATTTGAGTTACTGTTGCACTATCAGCGTGAAGCAGTCTGGACATTCTCTGTCACCTAAGTCACTTACGTCACTTTCTTCCCCTTTGATTTGTTTCTTTGATTCTTGATTTTATCTTTATCTTGATCATAACCATTTCCAAATGCCTAAATGCATTTCCTTGCTGACTTTCTGCATTGACTTAGAACTGAAGTGTTCCACTGTGGATTTTCCTATGTTTTTTTTTTTTAAAGGCAAACACCAATTTTAATTGACAATGCAGATTATTTTGTGGACAAATTAAATAGCTACAATAAATGATCATCCAACTAAACCGTATTTTCATTTCCCCCCCCAGTTCAGTTACATTTTATTTATATAGTGCCAATTCACAACAACATATCAGGGCACTTTATCATCATAAGTAAAAGAACTTTAAATGTCATAGATTGAAACCTGATGATGTAGCAAGCATTTTGCTTCTGTGGGAAGAAGGGGGGGTGGAAAAACCTCCCTTTGAACAATAAGAAACCTCCAGCAGAACCACAGTAAGGGCGGCCAGCCAACTGCCTCCACCAGTTATGCTGAATGAAAGGGAGAAAATAAGAGCATAGAAAAACCACAAACAAAGCAGAAATTGAGAGGGAGAGAAGATGAAAAGGTAATGACATACAGTAATTACAAAGACAGCAACAGAGAGGAGTGTAGATCATATCCAGTACTGGTCATCTTACTTCAACTCAATATCCTGGCAGTAATCACATGCCTCTGACTCAGCTTTTGTCTTGGCAGGGAAATAAAATC